TTTTTCCCACCTTGGCCCTCTTAAGGTTTTTTGACTTCAAACCCCAAAATTCCCCCAGCCACCGTGGTGGGGGATTTCGGGGAGTTGAAGTCCACACAGCTTAAAGCGGCCAAGGTTGAGAAACACTGATGTAGGGGCAGATCTCTGCTTTTAAGTTGGTCCAGCATGTCTTAACTCACTCCTAGCCAGCTGCTGATGCAATCTCTGCCCATGATTTCTGTCTTGTGACACCTTTGCTGCCTGCTTTTGCCTATCAATAGAAGGGAAGAGAGGAAACAAGGAAGGAGGTTGTGTGCCGTGCAGAGAATGAATTGCTGGAGTCTCAGTGCCAGCTGTTTACTCACCTTTTCTCCACCTAAGCTAGGCAGCTCATTGAACTTCCGCAGTTGCGGCCTGTATCACTTAGCTTTCTTATCTTGCTCTTGGGGGGCGTATCCACCACACAAACATGCCACAAAGTTTACTGGTGTGTCCTTTCCTTTCAGCGGTGAATGTAGCCTGCTCTTGCCAGCTAGTCAGGGTCAGGGGGGGGTCACACTGCACATTCCCGAAAGGAAGAGCAGCCTCTAATGCCATACAACAGTCTGTATACAACCCCACAAGGGAGGAATGCACACCCTTGGCCATGCACAGAGTGAGATTACCTCAGGTTCCCTTTCCCCCGCTGCTGGCAACAGAACAAGTTGGGCATTTTTATAATTAGAGGCAGGGAAACTTGAGTTTGCCATTTCCTTGCAACCACAAATAAAAGTCTGGAATTCCAGGAAAAAGGGAAGTCTAGATAAAAGAAAGCAGAGTCTTCTTTTTCTATAGAAGTAGGTAAATATATGTCATCCAGATTTTGCACTAGATTTTTGACTTATGCTTCTGTTTTATTTGGAAGTCTAAATATTTGTTATTGCTCTGTAAAACTTATGAATTTGGGTGTTTAGCTTGTGGCGTTATTTCCTCTTATTTGAATACCAAAAGGCGTTCTTTATTTTTGGTTTAGAAACTTTAGACCATATGTTTGCTGTGGAATATCCTAGTGATCTGTAATATTCTGTTGGGAGTCAGTCTGAGGCTGCAGATTCAGAAGCTGAAGAACTTGACCAGTATCTCCTCGGGAACCAGGTGAAGATAGTGCAACCTGAGGAGATACAGGTGCAGGCTAAGTCATTGGACCCACAGCCACAGCTAGGCAATGTCCTGAGCCCAGAAACACATTGCAGATTATGAAGGGAGGATCAAAGGAACTCAACAAATCTACCTAAAAAAAAAGAAGTGTGACTTGACCAATTAGTCAAGATGGGAGTTTGGGCTATACTGTATAAAAGTGGTTTGTGCTGTAATTGGCACTTTGTGCAAGCAGCATTTTAATTCATTACCTGTATGCTGTGTCAGATTGCCTGGATTGTCTTGAACTGGAAATTGGATCGTAGATCTTCCTAAACGTGGGAACTGTTTCTCCAGACTCTTTTGCAAAAGTAAGGTCTTACTTTTTTTTTTTTTTTTAAGATAGAAAGCTTTGAATTTTCCATCTACTAGTGTTACTTCAATAGAGATTTATGACTGCAGTAAATACCCTGAGTTTATAGCATAACATATACTGACAGTAGTGACAGAGAACTCTGTAACAAACCATAACCATACTGAGGTCTACACACTGCATTTTTCTTTTGGAATTTTTCTTCTGGTAATCTAAGTTACTGGATTATTTTTTTTCACGAGTTGGATAGCACTGAAAGCATCCTTTTCAACAACACAGTTTGATATTTAAAGTTAAAAGTTTTACACTTTTTTTAAAAAAAATATGTTTTTATTTTGTTTCACTCCTTTCAGATTGGCTTATCTTCAGGAAAGGGCTAAATCAACATCTGCCAAGTATTTTGTTCCCATCTAGCTGTGTTCCTTCGCCAACCACAGCCAAAAGTTTGTAGAAAACTAAACAGTAGAAGATTACATTATTTCTGTTTTATGCATCTGTATAGATGCTCGATCTTTGCCAAAAGAAAAGCACGTACACATAAATAAATAAAAAGAATGGTAATGACACTTCTCCATGTTCTGCCTTCCCTTGTTATTTTAGTATACTGTAGGTCCAAGAAATGAGTACGGTAACCAGAACTAGGGCTTAAGACCCAAACGGGTGTAATGGTTCAGGTATTTATTGCCAGGCTTGTACAATTCTGTTGAGAATAAAATTGCAGCTTAATAACTGATTGATTGGTGTTCATTTCTCCTCTTGACCTGCTTGAAAGGGCTGGGCAACCTTTCTGGCATATGCAATGCCAGGGGTTGTATTGGCATTATGGTTGCATATATATGCTCATGCCAACACACATGTAAGTGTATGCATTCTCCCCTCCCCTCCTTCCTGAATTCTCACAAACAACCGTTCAAACTTCATTAAATAGGTTAGGAATGACAATATGCTACCTTCCAGATTTTGTTCAATTACAACTTTCTACTTGCTCTTGATGAGAGCCAGGTTGGTCTAGTGATTAAGGCACCAGGCTAAAAGCTGGGAGACCATGAGTTCTAGTCCTACCTTTAGGCACAAAGCCAGCTGGGTGCCCTTGGGCCAGTCACTCTTTCTCAGCCCTGGAAAGGAGGCGATGGCAAACCACTTCTGAAATCTTGCCAAGAAAATTGCAGGGACTTGTCCAGGCAGTCGCCAGGAGTCAAGACTGACTCAAAGGCACCCTCCGCCCCAAGAAAACCTTTGCTCTTGACTAGGCTTAAAAACAAAAGGCAGTACTGGCTGAACACTAGTCACGAAGGCCAAATCACAATACAGATATGGAGATTGTTAGCGTTCTGGCATGATACAATAGATGTTCCTCCAAAATGAGAGGCAACAGACATTTATATAAATAGCCAAATAATTTAAGTAGGGAGAAAGGTTATCAACTGGCATCTACATGGCAATTAGCGATTGGCTGTAGGGATTCTGCACCGCTGAACACAGGAGGTATATAAGGATGTGACACCTCTTGCCAAATTCAATTTTAGATCTGCTTGGAAGAGCCTACAGCATGGCTAGTAAAACATGGGTACATATTCATGGTCTCACATGGCGTTACTTAGAATTCATTAAATCAAGAAATAGCAATTGTGAAACCCTATACAGGCAGTCCCTGGGTTAACGTCTGACTTATGGACCGCTCATACTTATAAACAGGATGACTATTACTAAAAGTGGTGGATGGCATTCTCCTTCCTTGAGCCGATGAACTGCTGAAGCTGTGCATGTTTTTGTGAACCCCTGAAGCCGCACATTTTTTATATACAGCCTGTTTTCAGTGGTTTTCAAATTCAAGTTAAAGACAGACTTAGGAACAGAACTTGTTCTTAACCTGGGGACTTCCTGTAGTTTATGATTCGACAAGCATCACATGAATGTTCAAAATCTGCATCAGAAATAGAAATATTTATGGAATGATTTTATCCATTTTTAAAATCTGTCTTCTTAAGAGATACCAAGCTGTTGTGATGGAATTTGCAGAATTCATTCCAGAAAGTACCAGTAGACTACATTTAAGTATTTGGCTGCCCCCTGCTGGTAGAAAACATGCATATATAGTCTCTCTCCCTCTAACTTTTAATTTTATTAAATCCAATGGTCACACCTTATGCCAAAGGTCCCAGGACTTCAGCTAGGACTACAAAAAAAGTTATAAATATTTTGGAAAAAGAGGAGATGCTCTAATTGATATTTGTGGTATGTAGAGCTGAAAGGACTAACCAAAGTAAAAGTGAGCATTGTTTTTAAACAGCTTGGTGTTTGTTTTTAATTCTTTTTAAATGTAGTGTCTTAATGTTTTTAAATAATATTTTAAGCTGCCCTGGAAATCTGTTGAAGGATAGTCTATAAACCATACGCATCCACAACGGTGTCCAGAGAGACTGTTCTACAGAGTACCAGATATGATGATGCCTGATTTGTGAAGTTGGGTCTGGTGACAAGCTG